TGTTGTTCTTTGTTATTATATTTCTCATATCTTTGCCAGAACAATGGTCTTCTGTGTTAACAGAAAGCCTGAAGCATATTGCATTTGGCATACTTCCGGATCCAAGAACAATCATACCGCTCCGTATCATTACTTACCGTCCTTGATGCATAACTTTTTATTTACTTCTGCAAGTATGTAATCCACTGCTGGACAAGCCTGCAATATAAGAGGAGTTTATCAGAAATGGATACAAGATCTATGCTTTCTTATGACCAGTTTATTAAACGTGCTATGCTTATGCTTCCTGTCTGTATATCTATAACCATCAGGTTAGTGTTTTATAAGGAATGGGCCCACAAAATCAGTGTGTCCCCTTTATCATTTATAGTGAATGGATAAGCTGTCTACATGTCTATATTTATATGCAATAGGCAATATGTTAACTATAGGATGCCATTGTAACTTATAAGTTATTTAATTGTTTTGACTGCTCTGAACTGGTGAAAGGGAATTCTGCTTGCACTGAACTTGCAGTTTAAATCAGCTGAATACATTAAAGGTGTAACAAAGTGTGTGCAAAAACATACAGTTGGTTTAGTTTAGAAAGCACCTAAGCCTGAGTAGCAAAGACTGTCCCTTGCCAGCATGCTGTAGAGAAGAACCCTTGCTCTCAATGTGGAAGCAGTGGTCTCTATGTAGAGGTCTAACTTACCCAGTGCTAATTTAAAGCTAGTGCTCTCCAATCACCAGGGAGCATGAACTTTGCTGATTGCAAAGCTATAGGCCTGATTTAGCAGAGGGGCATATTGACCTTATAAATTTACTATTACGCCGCTCATTGCACTTCATTGAGACCCAGCAATGAGGAGAGACAAAGAGAAAGAGGACCCTGCAAGCATCACAGAATTGGTGTGAAGACATCTGGAAAAGGTATGTATAAAAAGTAAAAAGCAAAAAGTCTGGGGGCCTTTGGGGGGGAAATCAGGGGATTGAGTAGGGGGGGTGTTTGAGCATGAGGTCTGGAGTTGGGCGTTAGCTGCATGCTGTCTAAAAATCATCTAAATTTGTGATGTAAATGTAGTTTATTGAAAACAATAATGCATTCTAATAATCAGCAGATGTATTTGAATGGTATATATTAATATTCAGACAACTTACTGTTGTAGGCAAAATATTTTTGAGGTTTTTATCTAAGAAATTATTCATCACATTTGGCAAAATTCTGTAAAACAAGAAAAAGATATTAGCTGCTGCTCCGGTGGGCGGCGCTCTGAGCAGGGTCATCTGGCAGTCTCCGGCCACCTAAATTAGGACCTGGAGACTGCCAGATGACCCCGCTTGGAGCGCCGCCCACCGGAGCAGCAGTGACGCGACGCTCGGCGAAGTAAGTAAGAAGAAACCTGACCAGCGTACTCACTTTCCTCAGTTCTCGAGACGCTGACTCGAGTATAAGCTGAGGGGGGCATTTTTCAGCTCAAAAAATGTGCTGAAAAACTCGGCTTATACTCGAGTATATACGGTAATACTATAATTTAGCCAAAAGGAAGTTTGACTTTGCAAAAAACAGAAATTACCTAGTAAAAGTAGAAGTAACATAATTACTGTTCTGTACATAGCCTGTGCAGAGAACAGAGCTGTGGGAGGGACCTAGCAGGCTCCACCCACTAAAGACTGCATCTGCAGGAAACTACATGAGGGGGTGGATACTAGACCACTCACTCTGAACAATGAGATAGAGCAGCATTTATTATAGGAAGCTCCTGCACAGAGGTAAAAATTCAGACTGGATTACTGTGCAGATCTGAAAACAATACACAAAGCTCACCAAGATTCAACTAAAAATACATATGCATGACTATTGTATTTGGATAAAATGTGCTTATCCCAGAGTTCAGCTTTACCCCCTACCTGATAACACTTCCTACAATGCCTTGTTAGCACTTGTGATACACCCACTGGCTGTCTGTGGAAATCGAGAACCTCCTCCGAAACCGGCATATAGTAAAACCACATCTACTTACCCTTTTGGTAGATTGGCTTTGACATCAAGTATAACTACTTTGCATTCTTTAACTCGTAACGTAGGGCAGGTTACATTTTCCTTCTTCAGGGTTGAATTCGTAATGATGTTTATTTCCAGTTTCAGCTCTGTTCTTCCACCCAGAAAACTGTTAAACAATAATAGATAGTCATGGTTTTTACATGGTTGATGGATTCATCCATTATGCCCCCTCTGTTAAGTTCCCAGTGAACGACCATACCACCAGGTGGCCCCCCAATTTTTCTGACTGTCTCACATTTTACAGACCCCCAAAGACACCCTAACCCGTCAGGCTGCCATGGCAAACATATTTCCCAACAACCAGTGGCGTATGGGGGGCGGAAAAAAATGTCTGCCCCGGGCGCCCATAACTCTGGTTACGCCACTGCCGACAACCCTCAACAGTAAATAAGGGATGGTGGGTGGGACAACCTGATCCTTCATCGACCTTCCAGAAAGGACTCCCAGCAGCCCTTGCAGTTCCTACCCATACGGCTCCTCTCTGCCACCTGACTCTCAAGCCCCAATCAGGTAAGATCTGCTGATTTCTCACTCTTTTAACCCCGTCCCTAGGGACAATTAGTCACCCCAGTCATGTACCCCTCCCCTCCTTGTTTCCAAGTCTGTCTTTTTTTTATCATACTGATATATACGCTATCCATCTTGTGCTCTAGACACATCTTACCTTTTCCCCCCAATCTGTATCTTATTTGTCACAAACATATGGATGCCAAAGTCAGGGAGAAACTCAAGTCCGATGTTAGAGAATTCTAATTTTTCCACCTTAATGCTGTTGATTTAAAACACATTCATGCATAAATATAGGAAGTTGTTGCAGAGTTGTTGAGTTATAATATATAATATAGCAAAAGTAAAAACGATCTCAGATGCAGTGGACTATATTGTACACACCAATGGCATGGGGACCCCAGCGCCTCCAACCAGAGTAAACTTATGAAAATTAGAAAGAAAATGTTCTCTTGAGGAGCTGGATAAATATGATCCCCCTTATTAAAACATTTACAACTATATACATTAAGCATAATTTGTGTAAAGCACACAAATAAGACCAACATATATATAAATTTGCAGAAACATATACTTATCTATGCGCCCCTACTGCCATACCACCCAACTTTCTGAGATGGGAAAGAGGGACAACTTCTAGCACAGTGTATTTAGGTAATGGACACACACCTGCTATATCCCAAGTTATGCGGCCTTTTTAGAATTTATATGCCAAACATTATTGATTGAACCAAGAATTGTTTTTTTTTTTCACTAATACTTTTACTTTATACTGGCTTTCTAAAATAGCATGCAAAATAATTAAGAGATAAGATGAAGGGTTTAGTGCAGAATACAACTTTTGGTAGTTAATTAGAACATTTTCATAGATTTTTGTACATCAGACCAAAAAGAGGGACAACTGAGGAATAAATAGGAGATTTGGTTCCAAGTGAGTGACAGCTGGTAGGTATTTCCACTACCCTAACATTGAATATGATGTGTAATGTTTCTGTATAGTCAACCATCTGTGGCCTATGCCTGGTTGTGGGTGCCAGAATAGAGTTGTTGATGAAAGATTACACAGCAGTAGGAATGTTCAGATGTTCAGAGAGATCCATTGATTGATTGGCAGCAGCCATATAACCTCATTCACCCAATTCTAGGAGCTGGTGAGCATATTATTTTTTGGTATATTCATTGTTAGGCCAGCATATGTCTGTGTGTTTGTTTAGGGGGGCTTGGTATGGAAAAAAAGCAATGATCTTACTTACTTTGTAATCCCCTTAACTGGACTTTTACCCTTTTTGCCCAGGGCTTTCTTCGTTGCAGGAGCCTCTGACATTTTCTTGATTAAGAAGTCTGTATCTGAAAGTACTCCTGTCACAACTGCAAAAGTAGACATTGCCCATGTTTATTTTTTATGTTTATAGAACAAGTTAATTACAAGAAATCAAGGAACATTGCAATAGATGTAAGCCCAATCACTCAACTCTCACGTTAATGTAATTTCAAAAGTTATTTTTTTATATAGTTAGTCAGGTTGAAAAAAGACACAGGCCCATGAAGTTCAACCTACAGAGATAGTAAAAAAAAAAAAAAGCCTAAACAGAATGCTATGCCCACAATTACCCATGCTCCCTTCCCTATCTTCCTATAACGCATGGTTTAATTTGCTCCAACAGGCGACAAAATATTCCTTCCTGATCTTATAGGACAATCGGATATTCCCTGGATCAACTTCTGGTGCTTAATATACCTATAAGAACTCAATATCCAGTAATATTCTGTGCATTTAGAAATACATCCAGATTTTTTTTAAACAGTCAACTGAGCTAGCTAGAACCAGCTCCTGTGGTAGTCTATTCCACATTTTCACAGCCATATTTCCATATGCAAAGGTTAAACCTCTTCTCCTCCAGAAGCAAAGAGTGCCCCCTTGTCCTTTGCAGTGACCTTAAAGTGGATAATGTGGCACCAAGCTCTTTATATGGACCATTTATGTATTTATACATAGTGATCATGTCCCCCCTTATTCGCCTCTTCTCCAGAGAGAACAGATTCAGTGCAGCTAATCTTTCCTCATAGCTGACCTTCTCCATGCCTCTTATCAGTTTAGTTGCCCTGAACTGGTGCCCAAAACTGAACTGCATATTCCAGATGAGGTTTTACTAATGCTTTGTACAGGGGCAGGATTATGTCTCTATCTCTGGAGTCTATACCCCTCTTAATACAAGAAAGTATTTTGCTTCCTTTAGAAACTGCGGCTTGACATTGCGTGCTATTATTCAGTCTATGGTCTACCAGAACACCCAGATCATTCTCCATCATTGACTCCCCCAAACATACTCCCCCCAGAGTGTATGACGCATGCATGTTTTTAGTCACCAAGTACATAAATTGACATTTATCAACATTAAACCTCATTTGCCAAATAGCTGCCCAATCACACAGTGCATTCAGAGCTGCTTGTATGTTGGAGACACCCTGTGCGGACTGTATTCCACTAAATAACTTGGTGTCATCTGCAAACACAGAAATTGTACTTTTAATCCCCAAATCTATATAATTTATAAATAGATTAAACAGTAGGGGGCCCATCACTGTACCTTGGGGGACACCACTAACAACCTCAGAGTATGAATCATTGATCACCACTCTCTGAATACGGTCTTTAAGCCAGTTTTCTATCCAATTACAGATTGAATACTCAATACCTACTGACCTAAACTTATACATTAGCCTCCTGTGGGGAAATGTGTGAAACGCATTTGCAAAGTACGGTTTCCTGATTGACTGTGAAGGCGGCTCCATGTTCCCTTGTGGCACTGGCGGTCAGAGGAAATCTCCCTCTGACCAAAAGTTCCGGTATCGGAGGTAAGTATTGGAGCATTTGGGTGAGTAAGAGTACTCGCCCAATTACTTGGCATCGGACCCTATACCGATACTAGTATCGGTGCAGCCCTACTTTTATTGTTAAAAAGGTACAGTGTTCCCCTTACTTGTCCTTGTTTTCTCTCTCTGCACATCCTGTTGGTTTGCATGTACTTCCTGGGGATCAGCACAAGCTCCAGCAGCAGCTGAATGATACGGCTAAACTGCTGTGAGTATGGCAGAACATGCCAGCACACTGTGCATTGGCATGGCTTCTTGTAGTCCAGCTAAATAGCCCTACCATCTGTTGGAAATGCAAAAGCATGTGCTGGTTTGTCTTTTGAGCTGTAGATGGCGCTGTAGTGCAATGTTAGTCTCTATATGCATGCTTATCTATGACACACGGGAAGCTGTTTTTTCTATATATATTTTTTCCTCACAATGCTGTATTCAGATGTAACATTCTTCTAAACAAGTAAAACTTAATTCAGCATTCCTCAAGATCTCAGTGCTTCATCTAAACACATAACCAGCAGGTTATGGGCCCACACTGCAAGTCAACCAGGGCCGCATCCAAGCTACTGAAAGATGGCAAGCAGTTCAGATATGAAGTTTGAAATCGCAAAGCTTAACAATACCAACACCATCAAGTGAGCTTTAAAAAAATTCAGCAAAACAGGTCTCCAGTGATGAGTGATTTGAAGTTATTAAAGCTGAACTCTGGCCTTCCCTTAAGGTTTGCAGAGTTATAAAGACTTCTCTTCTGTAATTAAATTACTTTGATTTCACTGCACACTGTGAACTTCTCACAGTGTGCACTGGAAGCTGCAGCAAGTAAGATAGAGCCTGTTTCATTTCAAGAATGGAGGACAGCCAACATCATCTAGTTTTTTCCTCCACCGCCTGACTGTCTCTGCCCCACCCCCTTTCATTCATTGGAGTTCAGTTCTTTCAAACATGGAAGCTCAGCATCACATGTTCGCCTTACCTAGGTCAAACTGCATGCAAATGCAGTCTGTCTAGGAACACCAATTAATTTAAGAGTGGCATTCACCCACCAGGGCATTTTAATTCTTGATAGTGTACGTTCTCTGTCTCTAACCGCATCTATATAGGCCAGAATTCACCATTAAGCACAGTAGGTTTGTGCCTGCAGATGACTGACACAAAGAGGCAGATTTTTTCTTTACAGTTATTGATCATAGAGTTTTTCTACATCCTCAACAGACACATAATTATCCCATATATGGTAATATACAATATTTTAAGATGAATAAAGACCAGGAAAACAAGAAAACTGGTCTGTGCAGAAGAGGTCACACTAGCAAGTGTGGGGTGGTGGGTTTGTCCTTGGATGCCTAAAGCCATATACCTGCAGGAAATAGTGTTCATCTATGAACAAAGACCAGCAACATGTCTCAATCTCTTCATATTGACTTGTGCATGGGACATGGGCTTTAGCTTGTATAAGAGAAGTGTTAATGCTTCAAGCTACTTCAAGTAAGCCTTTAAAAACAAACTTAGTTCCAATGTGGGGGTGTTAAAGTACATTTCTAAGCATTTTTCTAATTGATGTCTGTGTACCCATTGGGGAGATGTATCCCCTATTTGTATAGGTAATCATTGCCACTGGGAAATGTTTGCATTGTCCCCTGAACAAGAGGTAAGGGACATCTTCCTTTGAGGACACTTGTTCCAGGGGCAGCTGTCTAAGATTGGAATTCCCCTCACAGACAGCAAAAAAGTAACCTGGCAGGGGTTTACCGTACCCTACTCTATCTATACTAAACTAAAACAATGGCTATGAATACACTTTTAACCCAGATCGTAATGATAGTGGTGACTATCATTTTAAATAATTAGCTAGTAAGCTTCTGGAGGCTTTCAATAAGCTTTCAGGAGTGCTGAAGCTTACTGGAGATGTTTAGCAACTTGTTTAAAGTAACAATTACCAAGCCTTAGGAAAAATCGTTGGGAAGCAGTGCTGAACCTTAAACCTGAGGGTTGTACAACCTCTCAATTTACACGTATAATCTTCATTTTTACAGCTACACAGCAGACTTTAGTGAAGTTTTGGAAATCAGCTACTCCAATAATGCAGTAGGTTAAACAAAAAATCTCCTGGCACCTGGTAAATGAAATGGTTTTGGCAATATTACATAACAACTCAACTCTACTCACTGTCTGGTGTCCTAAGAAATACTCACCCTTTGGGTCTTCTCCGTCCTGGGTTCCCCTATCCCTCCACTCCCCCTTTATCTCCCTTCTGTTTATCTTTTCTTGCCTGCTTTTCTTTGTCTTTGTCCTTGATGTCTTTCTCTGAGTCTTGTTGGCACACGGTATACCTTGGATCTAGGAACCATGTTCTAATTGGGTCACTTTGTACCTGCTTTATCTTTGAGCTAGTTTTAAATGGATCGCAGCAGCTTATGTAGTTTCCCTTACTGTTGATAAACTTAAAAGCTTGTTGTGTTCAGTTTCATTGTGTATGTGACCTGTGCATACCAGTGCCTTTTTGTTTTGTATTTCCCGTTATAACCAATAAAAAATAATGGAAAAGAACGTAACAATTAACACTTTTTTAAGATCTGTGTTTAGCCTCCCTATGCTGGAGATGACTTTAACAACGCTACAAAGATGTTTAAAGCTTTCCGAAAGCTTTGCAAAAGCTGGCTGCACATACTGCTCCAAAACAAGATAAAGCTTGCGGAACAAGCCATAATAAAGTTAGCGTCTATACGGGAAATTGGGGCGTAATCTTTGTTCAAGAATTGCTATATAGTTTTTTGACCATCTCTACAAGCAGGGTTATCATAGGAACCCCAGTTTGCAGAATTTCTGTGTGCTTAATGGCTCTTGTAGACCGCATAGACCACTTTGGCAAACACTGCTGATATAACCTCTTAAACGCACAAATAAAATATTTCTCTAAATGGTACCAGTTAGCATTCACAACCACCTATATCACTAAAATATACAAGAGCATGAACAGTGCAAAATTCTTTCAATCCTTACTGTTTTCCAGAGCACAGCCATCAAGTTGTAAAATGACCCCAGAGTCAAGGGAATGACAAGATACCAGAAAAGCCAGGAAAGAGGCTAGGTGGTAAAGCTGCGCCATGTTCCAAATCTTCACATATGCAGCACAGGCTGTAGTAAGCAGATCTGGTAAATCATGAAAAAGATAAATGCATCTCTGATCTACTTCATCTGTCTCAGAACCTCTAATTCACTTTGAGATATCATTTTACACAGCATGTTCCCATTACATTAACAAGATTTGTTTAAAGGAGAACTAACGTTCAAATTAATAGTTTCTAAAAATGTATACAGTATTAAATATTAAGGTGTATTAAAAAATTTCACCCATGTTTTGTTGATCCAAATAGTGTAAATAATATGCATTTTTAATAGATAAATTTAATCTATTAATCTAATTAATTTAATTTAATAGATTTTTAATTAATATAAAAGAGACTTCCTGCAAAATGTAGAAATGTGCACTGACATATACAACATACACTTTGGATT